GTCATAAACCGATCGAATCTTTCACTCGAGCGTGGATGTTCGAACTTGTTATTCGACCAACGATCAGAAATCAAGACTAGAAACTGAGAATACTAAAAATATCGAAATTTCAAAGTCAAGAAAATGCCAAGCCCTTAGCCTTCGACAAGACCCAGAACCAATGCTGAATCCCGCACCTTCGTTGAAGAACCTTCGTTCACCAAACCGTTAAAACGGAAAGGAGTCATTTCTGAGTCGTAGCGTAGCTATCCCCTTCGAACGAAACCCCGACAGATCTCAGCGAGCGAGCGAGCGAACGCGTCCCCCATGGCGATCAGTCGTAGGAGAGTCGCTTCAACACGCGAATGTGGGATGAATGGAAATACGGGTACTTGAGTAAGCTTAAATTACATTTCATTCATGCAGGAAAAGCAGACACGCGGGACTCGGCCTTCCGGCTCGGCGTTGCGCACGTAGAAAGAGCCCGGAGAGTGCTCCTGCGTAATAATGGCCGGCCCATAATGTGTATTATCCCGACATCCTGCGGCGTCTCCTTTCGCGTGCAGGCTTTTCCTAGGCTCAGACGTTGCGACAGCCGACGATAATCGGACGGTGTTTTTCACGTTTTCCCAGCGGACACTCTCGCGCATCCTTCGAGCAGGCGAGTCGAACAGTTGCGCAAAGCCTGAGTTCGAACTAAGTTTTGAAATTACCGCGATACACGGTGAAATCCCGACGTTCCGATGGCTCTGCCGAGGGAAATATTTGGAAAGTGAAGAACTGCGTTGCTTCGCAATCGTGGGACGATTGATCGGCGGTAAGTCATTCGAATTCAACTAACTAGAATTATCAGCGTGGTCAGGATGACTAATTTACAATCTTTAATGTTAAAAATTTATAAAACGATCTGTATAAATTAAAACAAAATACATGTTTGGAGATTCGTAAAATGTACAAATAAATGCTTGCGTTTAGTAATTCTGTAATATTGTATGATTCTTCTGTTTTCTTTTGCTTTTAGTCGTCGGTAGTTCTCGTGTTAATTTATATTGTGAATGTTGGTAGTGCGCAGTGTTGTCCAGAAATTTCGTGCGCGTGAAAATTTTAAAAGAAATAATTAACAGAGAGAAGAAATTATGCAAGTGAACATCGGGGGAGTGAGAAGGAAGGGAAATGATAAATAGATATTTTGTTTGTGATTTGTGATAAATAAATGGCTGATTATATTCAAAGTTATAAATTATAATATTCTTATCTGTCAGTGAAATGATGACACGTCCAAAAAGTGATCCAAAATTTCGAACGTGTACTTTTTTATGATCGTATAGTAAGTCTTTTGAATTTTATACTTGTGATAAATTTTTGGTAAAATTCTTGGAGCATTTAATTTGGAATAAGTATTTTTATAAATACAACTAATAAAGTAAAGTTGGTCTGTTTCACAACGATAATAAGTTTTACACATTCTTTGTAGAAACAGACTGAATTTAAGACACACATGTACATAATATAAAGAGATCCATATTTTTAAACGTTCTTCTCTTCAAAAGGATTTCCCAAACATTATTCAACAAGTTTTCGAATTCCCGATTTAACGATTCGATGTCCGTAATATATTATTATATATCGCGGCATCAACAGCCAAGCGAGTAAACGAGAGTTCACGCAGTGGTTTCGGCTATAGTCCAAAGTATATCGTCGGTGAAAGTGGACGTCCTTTGCGAAACACGAATTCTGGAAACCACTGCAGACTTTAATCGCGAGCCATCGAGCCGCCGTTTCAATGGGGGAGTATGGTATACAGGGGACAGGAAGGGGGTAAAAATCGGTGAAGAGGAATCATGGCTGGATGCACTCCCTCCCTATGTTCACGCACTTTTACCGCCGGCTAGCATCGGCACTGGTTCTGCCGTTTTTCAAGGGGGAACCGACACGACGACCTGTTGAGCCCCTCGGTTGTCCTAACCGAGAAAAGTCTGACTGAGCCTGACTCGCTCGAAATAATTCAGAATCTTCGGTCTGAATTATTCTATAAAGTTCGAAACATTATTTCGTGATTCGAGAGAAGAAATCTAAAATGGCACGTAATAGGAAGTTAAAGTAGCAATAAAATAGCACTGTCGGTCATAACAAACTGCAGTCTACCTGCAGGTATTCATTATAATTAAACTAGTGTAACAAAGATAAGTAAATATAACAAAAACATATAAACAGGCTTTCTACGTTTTTGATAAAACTGAACAAATTCTTATCAATTGCAAAGCCACGAAATCTGGATTTTATCCGCTTGACGAGATTAGTAATTCTAGTATTTTCGATCGAATTTTATCGCACTTAATCCCATCCCGGGTAAAATTATTCTATTTTTATTTTATCGAATTACTCGAAACTCTTCTACAAAAATTGTTTCCACGCGTAGAATTCTCTTTTTATTTTAGTTTCTATATTATTGCAATGATACTGCATCCAAAGGTGAATTAATTATATAATTATTTTTAACAACAATAAAATAATATTCTCAGATAAAATGCTTGATTTTATAGTTGAAAATTTCAACAGAAACGCGCTTCGAACTGTTCTGTACTTGCTTCGGTACGCTTTCACGTAGCTGCAATTTTCCCCTCCATGATGGATCAACGTGAAAATCAAAGTAAGCCGCGAAACAATATACTTTCGTACGTCACGTTGCTCCACTTTCCCTTCTGTCTTTTCCTTTTAATGACACTCATCGGGATCGGTCGTAATAATCGGCCCCGACGACCAACAAGAAATTACAATTTACATCATACGACTATGAATTATGAACACGATCCACCAACGTGGCTGCCAAGTATAAAAAGAGAAAATCGAATGTCACACGACCGACAGTTTCGAACGATCGAACGTTCAAGAATGGCGAAGCTCGCGACGATCACGATCGTTCTTGCAACCTGCAGCGTGCCGCGATCCAGCGGGATTGATCCACGCGGATCGATCGAGGACGAGCTAGCGGCACCAGGTGAACGAAATATTCTTTTGTTCGATGAGATTCTTTCTTAAGAAAAAAATTTTTTTCTTTCCTTCTTGTTCTGTTATTACTGTTGATGATTTTGGGATGGTTGAATGTTTTGGGAAATGTTCTTTCAACGTTAGAGATGGAGAAAATATTTTTTATGTCACAAGGATAAATAGAACAAGTTTCGCTAATCCGAAAGATTTTCGTCCATTCTTTCTCTGGTATTTTTGGAATGTTCATAATGTTGAAAAAAATTAAGATCAAGTTTCTTTTACTTTTTTTAGATTTGTAAAAGTTTCTTTCTAAATCGTGGCGTTCTATTGAAACGATAATTCAAAGACGAATAAATAAGGCTTGTTAAAATTAATTTATTCAAAATGAAGCAGTTCTACTGACAGCAGTAGGACACGAAAATAAAAAACCTCATCGTTACCAAACTTTTTAACTAGCAAATCGACAATCGTGACTTGAAACGGATAAAACGCAAAGATCGGAGATCACTCCGAGAAATTTGAAAAGTGCGCGGGAAGAAAATTGAATCGATCTTTACCTTGCGAACGTCAGAAACTTTGTTGTTGTTGTTTCAGGTATAAGAGACGAGGCCATCAGAGAGATTTTCCATGTTATCTCGACGGAGACGTCGAGCGAGAAGGACGACGAGCAGTTGGTGAAGCTGATCAAAGAAGAAATCGTAAGAACGGCGCATAGTGTCAAAACGCCATCAGGTTCGATCGAAGCTGCTGCCAGAAGAGCGCAAAGATTGGTCACAGAATTGACAGCCGCCTACACCACCGCCATTTACAAATCGAAATCCTCCGAGGAGGCGAAAGTGAACTTTGCTAGGTTTCGAAACACCGTGCAGAAAATCGTCGACTTTATAAAAAAGGGTCAATTTGTCGTTTGAAAGCGACTTTCTGTTATATTTGTAATATTGTTCTGTTATAAGATTGTTAGAAACGTCAAGCTGTATAATAAAGTTGACTAAAAATGACAAATTAAAACTTCCGTAGTAGGGAGAATGAAAATGGGAAGAACAATTCGTTTCAAGAATTTCAGTTGACTTAAATTGATTTAAATATAGGCTCCGAATCTTGAAACGATTAATTGCAGAATGCACAATTTGGAGCCAAACAATTCGTAGTGTCCAAGACATAGATACGTTATAAAATATCAAACAGATAGAAACTTTCGAAGAATCGTGCAAAACATGGATCTCATTTCTTAATTTATATCACTTAGAAGATTTAAAAATTTGCGAAGAAAATCTCAGAAGAATGGGGAACAGTTTCAACCATTTTCCGATACCAAGGTTCTACATATACCAAAACAGTTTAAAAAATTCTAGACAAACCAATTAAACAGAAGATAAAATTGTCAGTTTTCAGTCACACAAAAACTCCTTTACACCATCCAACGGACAAATATATTACAGAAATCAAATTTCCAACAATCGAATCGGATCGCAAAAATCCTGGATAATTCTTTCCTTCTAGATAGACGCGAAACTTTCAGAAATCTTCAAAACAAGGACCATGTTGCTTAGTTGTTAATCAAAAAACTTTAACCTAAACCTGAAACAATAATTAGAAGAGAATAATCTTCAATCCTCGATTCGCTCAAAGACGTTCAACATCCAACAATCCGTCACGCCACGAGGCCATCTTGAGATTCCAGCAATCCGTACTACGATCACGAAGCCATAAAAAAATCTCTCGCACGTATCAATCATAGAAGACGTTCCTCCGAATCTATCGAGAGCATCGAACACGTGCCACGAGTACTTCTACTTCGTACGCAGTAGATCGTACGAGATACGCACGTCTTCTATCTTTTTCTTTTTTCTTTTTTTTTTTTTTTTGTTTTTTTCATTTCAGTCCGGTCGACGACGACGACGTTGCCTGGATTTACACGCGCGTATGTACACGCGCGTATGGCAACGAAAATTATTCCGGCTGACGTATGAGTCAGGGCAGACGATCCATTGTAAAAGCGGCATGGGCTCATAATCTGGCGAGGTAGGATCTCCAGGCCGAGCTGACCGGAACTGCGCCTATGCTCTCTCGCCGGAAGTGCCGCTGCCACATGTAGTAATATAAATTATAATGCCCTTACGGTTTTTCCTTTCGCGGATTTGCATTTAAAACACCGGAATGGCATTGTGTCGTCGGGATCGGCGCGAGCGATTTTCATGGAAATAAGAAAACCGTCGGGGGCCAAACCTCGTTTCTACCACTCTTTTTCACTCTTCTCGTGTACCACCGACACGCTGGTATTCTTTTTTTTTTTTTTTTCTTTTGGTCCTCTGCGTGAAGAGATAAAATGATAGTTCATTTATATCTTTTGCTCTATTCCAGTCTCTACACTACTTTATACTTTAGTTTTTACAGTTTTCTTTTTAATTTTTATTGATTCTTTTATTAATTCTTTTTCTTTTTTCTTGTCCAGTGTCGCATATATTAATTGTGATTTCAATTTGTGATCATTATGTATATATTTTTTCCAACTGACATATCAATCACACCAACTGCTTCTTTTTTATTATGAAAGAAATCTATTGATTTTCTTAACGTTGCGTTTTAAGAGATCAACTTATTCTTTAACCCCTTCAGAATAGAACTCACTCAGTGATAATGGTAAATGTAATTTGAAAAAAAAAAAGAAACCAATAGAAATGCTGTGGAATTGATTTTTCTCTTCAAAAAAAAAAAGAAAAAGAAAAACAAGATGAGAGATAAAATGGCAGAGGAGCGCGATTTCCATCGAATCGTGCCAAGGCTAATCGGAGATGAAATCTGAAAACGGCTCGCTTTCACCGGCTCGGACAATGGCCACCTGAAACTTTTCTAATTCGTTTCGCGTTTCCTTTCCTCTCCTCTTATCCATCTCTTCTTTTTTATTTTTTTATTTTTTTATTTTCTTTTCCTCGTCTCTTTAACTTCTGAGAAGAGTCAGCTAGTGTGCGTGAGATATAGAGGAGTTTCCTTAATTAATTAACCGGCATGCTAATCGCGAAAACACGAACATGCAACTGGCTAATTAAAAACTGTTTATTAACTGTTTATCACGAGTCGGATGGCGATTGTCGATTGTGCAGGGATTTTCCAACGGCCGACACGTTAGCAAGGGCTCTTAGGATCTGCAGATGGAAATCTCCAGTTACAAAGCATAATTTTCGCTCGACGGTTCCATGTTCCTTCAAGGATTTGTGTATTTGAAAGTATTGATCCTCCGCGATTGCCGCGGAGTTGATTATGAAAAACTGTGTGTGTGGAGGGATTGATTATAAGGAAGTGATTGTGACATACGTAGATATTAGATTTCTAGCGTCTTTTTGCTGATACTTTTAGAACTTTCATGGTCTTTCGAATGGTTCGTTTCCCATTAGATCAAGTACGATTGCAGACTATATAATGAACACTGTTGGATAAACATTAATTAAACGAATAAATGATAAATGTTCGTATAAATGGACGAATAAATAAAAAAGAAATCATTTTCTTTGATTTTAGCAGATTTTAGTAGATCTTGAAGGGATTAAAGGACAAATCAACAATAAAAGGTTATGATCATAAACCTTTTTTCTTCTATAAAAAAAAGAATATATCCTGAAAGTTAAGACAACACTTATCCTAAAAAGTAAAACTGGTAAAGTGGTAAAACCACTCATTTCAAGAAACGTAACTTCAACGAGATAAAACCACGAACCACCCTTCCTTCCTCTAAAAAATAAAAAAAAAAAAATATCTTGGAGAGAGACGACTGACACGAGCTTAAAATATTAAAAATGTTAAAAATACTACTAATATTTGGTTCAGAGAGACAATCTCCCTCGCGGGCATAAAGCACCGATCTTCCGTTTCCGGCGAACACAGAGGCCATTGCCGCGATTTTTCCAGCGCGGGGCATGCTTGACCGAGGTCAGGTCCCTCGGTTTTATCGGCGAGTTACGCGACTGGACGTTTCTAAGGCCGTGTGCAACGCCGTTCATGACTTAACACGGTGCTTGGGTTCGGCTGTGCTTTGGCGGTTTAGCCTGCCGGGACAATGCCGCATTGTTTCATCGTCGTAGCTATCTAGTCGGCACGGTAGCGGGCCCGAACCATGTTTATTATCCTCTTGCGCAACAAAACAAAATGCCCCCGGTGTTATATTATCCTCCGGTTCGTGGTCGAATCAGTTTCCCATATAAAATCCCACGTAAGACGCCCGCGGACTCCCGTCGTAACTTTCAGCTGGCCACGACGTCAGCCAGCAGCCTCAGCTCCCTTCAGGGTGTCCTTGGTGCTCGTCCAGCGCCAAATAGCTTCGGCAGGATTACTTGGAAAATCCGGCCATCTTCTTCTTCTGTGTCTCTTGCCTCGAGAAAACAAATTGAAAATTTGTTTGAACGTTGTCTGATCCTTGAAGGGACGATGATAATTTTCAAATTAATTTTTACAACGTAACCTTTTCCAATCGTTCGTAACTCTTATTAGGAATTTATAGTAAATTCGATACTATATTCTTGGATATTCGATATAAACGTGCGAATATACTTTCGTAATGGTGATCAATTGCGAAATTCTCGTGTTTCTCACGACGAATGAAGCATCGCAATTTATGTTGCAAAAACCCGATACTCTGAGAGGAAGTGAAATTTAATCGAGAATACTCCCTATATGTTTCTGTACATTCTGTTCAGCTTTCTCATTCCCAGATCTGCCGTCAGATCGTTTCTACGCTGGACTAACCTAAAAATCAAATAACAAACAATTGCTTCAACAGGTTCCAATCGAAGATCTGCAATCAGCATCGAAACGATGAATTTTCTCGTTCTCTAAACGAACGTTACGTATCTAGCGAAGCACCGAGGGAGCAAAAAGTAGGCGAAACTAAGCCTGGCGGACGGTGATACTGCGTTTAGCTACGACACCGAAAGAAGCGGGAGCAGCGGCATTCCGCAGGGCATAACTTAAGCGAGCCCTGAGCTCACGAAGAGAAGAGACGGGTCACGACGCCATGTGTGCGGCCTACCAACCACACCCACCACCTATTTATTTATGTCTACCTCACGGCTTTTTGTTCGTACCATCGGGCAGAGCTTTCATTGCGCCGTGAACAACGCGGCGAACAATCGAAGAGAGCCGCCTACCCTACCGGAAAAATCCCCCGTCCCGAAGGAATCCCTCGTCCTGCCTCGAGCCGGCCAGTTTCGAATTATTTGTAAAGCGGCGCATAGAACGCTCTCTTCTTCCTTTCCTGGAGAACTGCTGCACGCGAACGTGCTCTGGGTTTCGAGAGGAACGACACACACACACACACA